ACAACAACAACAACAACAACAACAACAACAACAACAACAACAACAACCACAACCACAACCACAACCACAACCACAACCACAACCACAACCACAACCACCACAACAACCACAACAACCACAACCACAACCACAACCACAACCACGACCACAACGACCACAACCACAACCACAACAACAACCACAACCACAACCACAACCACAACAACAACAACAAAACCAACAACCAACAACCAACAACAACAACAGCTGGACATAAACAACCATCAACCTCATGATCAAATCTGATCGAAGTCTCTTTTCTCGCCAGGCGGGCGAATTAGGGCATTTACACTTGGTTGGGCGCATCAGCAAGTCGGCAGGATGTGCTGAAGAAGGGCACCCTGGAAAAAGGGGCCTTGGAGCTGGGGGGAAAACACTACTATTTCATTTGTTGTGTTTTCGGCAAAACTAGCAGAAACGGATGTGCAAGAAAAACCTGACCCTAGACATTGGTTTCCAAGAACTGTTTCGACCTGGCCTCCTCCCTTGTGTGAGAACGAATTCGTCGAACCCGACGACCTAGGAGACCCGACGAACTCCTAGCACATCCGTGGACTCATACTTTGGCTGATCACAACCAAGCACGCTTCGAAGCGGCTCATCTTCCGCCTTGAATGGAGAAGTCCATAGAAGTCCCGAGTTGCTTAAACAAAAAACGCTGCCCAAGTCAAAAATGCCCTTGCGTTTTTAAGCGGAAGTCCACAGAAGTCCATTGCCGGTGCACTTACGCAGATTGCGAACGCAAATTGTAACCGCCATGAAGTTTGGACGCTTTGGAAGGTGATTTGTCCTTGGACGCTTTGGGCTTGGGCCATCCATGTTCTGTGTCAGGGAGTGTGGACTGTAAACTTTCACTCCGTTCACTCCTGGTAAATTCTTTGATATGCTTATTTCTATCCACCTAGTGGAGGCGGTCCTCCCCATCAGGCCTCATCAAACTCATCACAGATGTGTGACGCTGTCGACAGGTGACATTCCATCGGGGCAAAGGGGAGCCGCATACGTTTCAAACAATCTGCAGGCCGATCGCAGCGCCGAACAAGAAGCTGTCAATCAAGCGCCGCAGCAGCCATCCTCACTCTCATCCATCTGGCAAGCTGGCAGTCTTGGGTCCCAGCGGTCATACATATACCTAGACCCAGAGTGACCTCTAGCTCTAGTTTAGACAAACCACAAAAATATGAAATATATTGGTGTTTTCACTCAAACAAGAGGACAAATGGGCTCTAGGACTCTAGGAAGAAATTAAACATCTTGGTCTTCCTAGTTGCCTCGAAGTCATGATAGCGAGAAAGGAAAAAACTGGGCAAGATTGTCCAAAAATGTACAAAACACCTCAAGGGAGCACACCTTCGAAGCAGCTTGAATTGTTTCCAAATCCATCATCCTGTATGCGTTCCCAGAGCATTGACACAATTTTCGGATCAAATCAATCAAGTCTGGTGCATTGAGCCATATTGAGCCGCAGTGTACCATAATAACTTCGGGGACCTGGAAAAGGACATGGAAATCACGGGAATAAGCATGCCTGTTTGTCAAAATCCGGATATCTTGGTCCACCTACCGGGAGGTTGACAAACACCCCCGGTTGGCTCCAGGTTTTGACCGCCAAATCACTACCGTCTGTCCTAGGATCCTCCGTTGAACGATTCTCGTGCCACACCCTTAGTCCTTGAGCATTATGCATGTGACAGCACATGTGTCCGACGACAGCAACTGGAGGTCACGGATTAAGAAAGGCGAAGAACTTTGTGGGCAGTGTCATCTGCTCAGAAGCAGCCTCTTTATGTCTGGATCCTTTCCATGAGGAATCCGGGATCCAGGCCTATGACACAGTGTCACCATTGCCAGGGTAAACTCAACCAGATCAAAAGGTCTCTACAATCTATGGAATCCCCTTCTTGGAATCACTATTCCCAAACACTCCATGTGCTTCATATTTACCTACATTGGGGTGGTTTCACGGGTCTGGGAGTGATCACCAAACCAAAGAACATCTCTCCATCCGGTCAAACACCCGTCGGTCCACGTCCGCCTTCGGTGGCTCCGCGCCTCGGAGGAGTACTCGTCGTCTTGCGCCATGACGTGACTGAGATCCCGGTGGCCGCGGAGGGACGTGGGATCCCGGGAAATGTTGAGGACGCACAGCGAGTCAAGCTCCCAGGGTGCAAAAGCCATCTTTGAGACACTTGGGTGATCAATTTGGGTGCTCTTATATAAAATATATATTAAAGTATGGAGACCTCGCAGTGAAAATCTCCTGGAAGAAGGCAAATGAATGCAAATGAACGATCCAAGAGCCTCCAAAACCCTTCAACCCGAATCGAGATGGATATCGCTCCGCTGAAGCTTCGTATACTGCCGATGACTTGCCTCGCGGAATGCCATGAATCCGCAGACCCAGACCGCCCAACGGTTTGAGAGGCTCCTGTCTGGGCTCCCGGACTCCAAGACACGCAGGGTAAAGGGGCACCTTGGGGTCGGCAACGAGAAGCTTTTGGGGCGAGGTTATGGGAGTGACCCCTTTTGGGAGAAGGCCAGCCTTACTATGAAATCTGGCCACCCGAGAAAATTGCTTTGGGCATCCCGGCATGTAATTCAATGGAAGAGGAGTTCTTTGCTTTATCAACACATAATGCACTTTTCTTCCTTTTTGGAAGGAATGGACGCAGCGACGCCGCATGTTGTTCACACACCAACATGTTAACAGGTCTCAAAGTGAACACAACAAGGGAAACTCCTCTGTCACAACTCCATCTCACAGCTTTGCCAACACACCCGCATGTCTATCCGCAAGTCAGCTGTAATGTAGACGCTTGATTAATAACCCCCCCTTCAAAGAGGATTTCCAAATCTGTTCAATTCAACATTACTGTTTGCATCTGTCCGCAAGGTCTTCCTACCCTCACCTCTCAATGCTCCCGCTCCAAAGCCGTGAAACCCGTTTTGCCCGCTACCGCAGCTGGGCGTTGTGACGAGATCAACTCCTTGTGGTGGACCTTGCCAGCCTGAGAAGAAAAGACATACACAAACACATACAACCATGTAAAATCATATTATAGATCAAGGGATATGAAGCAGCACCAAGTTAACACTTCTTGGGATCTACATTGGGATCCAGTTTTGGAGGGAACGACGTTGGTCTTACAACGTAACGTCACAGGCCTGACAGGGATGGAGGCACAGATTCCGTGGCGATGGTCGCCTTACTTGGTCCTTACCCAGAACTCCTGTTCGGAGGTCTCGCTGTGCAAAAAACAACTTGTAAGTCACTGGCCAAGTTGAAAATAAATAAGGACAGGATCCAGACTTCAAGAGGTATTTCCAAACAGAAAAGTTCCTGAGAGCGCGAGGTTCCTCAAAGGGTTGAAGGCCTTCCCAAAAGTTCCAAGATCTCTACTTTCTTGGCGTGTAATTAATATCAACCGTTGAAATCCCAGGATGGGATTTGCATTCTTCTCTTCAAGTTTCTTGTTCCTGGTACACTGCAGGTCTAGCGAGGAGGTATCACGGGACTCTCCTGCAAGAAGCAACTTGAATTTCAGTAGAACTAAGTTACGTGTTGTTGCACGTGCACCCAAATGGATGTATTCCAACAGATTCCAACAAGTGCAGGAACTTGCTGTGGGTGCAGTTGAGTAAAACTCAAGTATATAGTAGGAGCGTTTCAAAATTAGCCTGGACATTCCATATCAAGCTGCTCTAACGTTAGAGTTAGACCAATGGAATCAGCGGGCATGGAATGCTTCTGTCACAAGTGGAGGGAAAGACCCGGCAGAAGACATCTCTGAAGGCATCTGAAGTCCCCCCAAAAGGTGCAGTTCATTATATTATATATATAATACCTTGGTGTAACATCGCAAGGTCTAAAACCTCCAATAAGGCACACATTGCACACATCCCAAATTGCACGCTTCCTTCCCATCCAATCGTAACGACGAGTCGATCGACTTTCGAGCGCTGTTCGCCCAGTGGCCCGGTTTTGGTGGAGCACCACGCCCGCGTTTCTCCAAGCCTGTGACGCCGCGTTTTCATCGCAGAACAAAAACGCACGCTGGGAACGACGCTGTGGATGCCCAGGTTGGCCGATTTAGAGATGTGCTGTTTCCAAGGATGCCCTGTTCCCGAAAAACAGGCGCAAACTAGGTAAAGGGCCAGCAGGAGTGTTGAATAAGAATACCCTCGTGACCAATACCAGAAACCGAAGAGGGAATCACATCAATAACCCAACAAAATGAGGGATGCATGTAATGTGTATGGAGATCCACGAAACATTGAGAAGTTTCAGACTTTGATTTCACGTTGGAACCGCCGTTTGCTGAAAATTCACTGCTCCTCTTGTTGCTTTATCTAGCCGGACTTTAGAATGTTTAAAGAGTTTTTAGTTTAAAGGCAAAGCCAGCTTGGTTACCAGAAGCCACCCATGACACTACAAATTTGGCTGGAGCCACTGTGATATATCACTTGACATGTCAACAAACGCAAAAGCACCCTTTCCTTTGTTCCATCTGCTTGTTTGGCCTTGCTCTAACAATTGTGGAAGTAGAACAAACCCTGCAGGAAGACAGATTTCCTCTACAATCTGGGTTTGTTCTACCACATGATTGTTGGAGGTCCATGATGGCAAATGTATTTCATGAGGCATTGGAGTGTAAGGCATTGGAATAGTTTGTGTTACAACGGTGGCCTTAGCTAGCTAGTCTTCAGCAAGCCCTCTGTTTACAGATTCAAGAATCGGTTGTGACGTGAAACCTGCACTCCATCGACGCATCCGCAATTTGCAGTTGTTTGACTGGCACTGCCTCGCACATTTTGTCGACGCTTCGGGCTGTGATGGTGTCATCTCCTTGAATCTGACAAGGTGTTCACAAACATGTGTGGGAACCCGGGAACTCGCAAGAGAACACCAGCTGCATTTACAGTCATTTCTTGGCACCAAAGGGTGGTCGCCAATCACCTAAGGCATGCAGTTCTTGGACGAACCCAAGACATGAGTCACCACTTTTATCTGATTTAGACATATATAGACCAAGTTGCAACAAGAATGGTTTGGACTTTTGAGCTTCATACACAACCTCTGTCCAGGTTGAAGGGAAGTAGGCGAGGAAGGGGTACATGCATGACATGTACAAGTGATTGGTCTGCGCATCCGAGGTGGTTTTGCAAAGAAACATGCCATGCTACCCTGAAAGCAGGGTCAGCATCATCATGGGGCTTGGGCAAAATCCCAAATACATACAATTGAATACACCCACTTCCCTGCGAAACCAGGTACAATACACGGTGGCCCAAAGAATACAACACAACTAATATTTAACTTGAGAACAACAAAGGAATATAAAGGATGAGCCACCAACAATCCTACCACTGAAGACCTTATTCATCGAACGCAAACGAGATCGAAACATATGCGAAACATGTGCTTTTACATATGCCAAACACTTCTTGGGTTGCATTGGGTTCCACATGATCCTTTCAATTTGAGCCAAGCCATGTGCAACATGAGGTCTGACTCAGGCCCTCAGGCCCCAGCCTTTCTCGAAGCCTATGAGCTTTGCCTAGCGAGATGGCCCAAGGGAGATGGATAGAGTGTTGTTTTTGGGAAGAAAGCGACTGATCAGTACAGGTCCGACCCAAATTGACCTAAAAACAACACATAACTGGATTGATAGGAATTGGAAAACAGTCGCCTTGCGATACAAGTTCTGCTCGAACTTGAGCTTGGACAAAGTTTCGATCCCATCAGCATAGATGACATGAACACCTGGGCATCGATTTCGGGACGAATAATGGGGACGAATCGATGGGGGCGGACTAACAAAAAGGACTCGGACGTACCTGCAGGACTCCGTTGTCCATGCATGAAAATGGAGAAGTGACGTGTCATGGTCCATTTATGAGGGGAAATGCATGACAAGCTAAGAGATATAGATTTTGGGGCGCGAGAACTGTGGTGATGGTGGTTACCACTGTGCTGAAATTCTGCAGAGCAAGGCCAATGAATCCGGAGAAACAGCATCACTGATCACATCTAATCACTATATAGTCAAAGACCAGGTCCGTCTTTCTTCTCGGTGAATATCGATTGATCGAAGAAAAATCCCTACAATGATCAATTACAAGTTACCACAACATCAAGCAACTGAGTCCGAGTCTTGCTGAGTTTAGCGCATCCTTTTAGGACACCAACCAACCCCTGTAGAGCTCCTCACCTTTAGAGCAAGTGCCGGATTTTTTTTTTGCCATGAGTTCGGCACGGCAATTGGGCGGCTTTAGGTGTGGAACCACTTCTTGCTCGAAACCTTTCCGAAGCACCGCCTCAGCTCCACCGGGCGAGCTAGACAACAGCAAAAGTGGCCTCCAACCGAACAGGAAACAACATCTTTGCCAGGCGTTCAAGAAAATGAAGGGGCCCTGAGAAGAATGGAAGAAACATGACAAGAACAGGTCGGAGATAAAGTCAACAGGGCCCAATCAACAAGTTGTCCACTGGCATCAATGACAAAACGGCTCCAAATCTTGGGTTCCAGGCTGCTTTTTCGAATTCTGAGCGGGCGCGGGCGCGGGCGTTTTAGAGTTCGGTGAAAGCCGGTTTGCCGCACTCAGTTGGCGGTACTCAAAACCCATGGCTATAGCAAACAAGTCAAATTGACTATGCAGGACTTGGACTCAGAGCTTGTTAGACTCACAGCCCCAGCCACTTCTGAACACACGACGCTTACATGAATCGGCAAATGACCAGCGAGCCGATCAAGGCAACATGCACCAAATGCTGACATCTGCTGACGCAGAAGACACAACACAAGAAAACACATCTTGGAACCCAGGCGTTTGGACCATGTGCGCTTCACTTGCAAGATCTCATGCTCCTTGTCGGGTCCGACGGATGTCGGGTCCCACGGATGAGGCGGGTTCCGGCTATGTAGGCTGCGAAGCTCGGCCCCTGGCTGGGCGCATCGTTGACCAGCGGCCATGTGGTCGACGATTTCGGATCAGGTGATCTGTATTATGCAAGTGAGACGTGGCAGCATCTGTGGAGACGTTGCCTGGAAAGTACCTGCTGGATCTGAAACAATGACATGACCTACAACATGATCAACCTATACTCTATATAGATATGTCTACTCAAACCACCTGCAGTAGATGACCTGGATAGATCTCTTCTTGGTCGAAGGCCCACCGCTCTCCAGGTTGCCTAGAATCGATAGTAGCGGCCAGTGGCCATTGCAGCTTGGATCTTGGGCAGGTCAGGATCCTTGAGGTGGAACATGTTTCCGGCACAACAGGAAAGCACAGCACCGAGCGAAGAGACCGGAGGGTTCCTGCGAGCGGATGAGGCCGCAAAGTAGGCGGCACCAAAGTAGGCTTCCGACACTGGATCGCACACGGCCCGTGTCAAAGCCATTCTCGCCAATTCCCAGGGCTGCTCCGGGATCAATTCTGCGACGACTGTATTCAGGTAGCCTGGCCACTGTCCTGAATCTGCCCGTCGGCTGAGTCTTCAACCTGCCACTGCCTGGAAGCTGCTTGACTGGCACGGGACGCTGCCCGCCACAAGGCGCTTCGCCTCAGAACGTTTCCACATGGTGCTGTCCGGACCTGCTCCCACCGTCCTTGCGGTCTCTTGTGGACTTCATTCTGAAGGTTGTCAAAGGGAGATGTCGGACGTTTCCCAATGCATTTCCTCCTTGATATTCTCCTTGAAGAACTGTTCTTGAAAATCTCTTTTTGGATCCCCTCGGAAAAAAGAAAAAACACTCGGCCTCTTGGGCATGGATCGAGTGCATGCACCCGAAGGATCAGGTGGCTGAATCTCTTCTTGCAAACGTCAATTTCCTCATCCTGTCAAAAGTCGACCCAAAGACAAAAAGAAAGTTTGCAGTTTGCACGGCAACATGTGCCTACACGTCTCTCTCTCTCTCTCTCTCTTTGTTGTGTATGTGTTAACTAATTGATAATGTATGATAATGTATATAATCAAGATACATAGTCAGGTATACTGACGGTGACACCCCAAGCTTTGCTGATTGAACTTCATGCAGGTACACTCCGACTCACTAACACGGAGGTGGAAAGTGGTCCTTGTGCAGACCATTTTCCTCTACAGTCAGAGTGTACTTCTTGAAATCTTCTTCGCTCATCACTTGGTCGAGATATTTGCCAATTCGGAAGACCGGAAGACCGCACTAATGAGAATCACCACGATCAATGCCCCTACACGATGGTCCCAATGACACGCATGAGAACTCCTAAAAACGCCAACTTCGAAGAAAATCAGCGCGGTTCAGCCCCTCTTGCTCATCCATCTGCTTTTTGTCCACAGTCGCATCTGCCACTTTCTCCCTGCCGCTGGCGACATGTTCAAAGGTCTACAACCATCCGATCAACCAAACTCCACGGTCGAGAAGAAAAGCCTCTCGCTGCGATCAGAAAGGCCCCCCCACCCCCAAAAAAGCAATCTCTGCGACTGTCAGGCCCCCTCCGACGGTTTCGCCCTGAAAACGGTCCTCCATCCAGCGTCGGGTGCGTTCCTTTTCGCACGGTTCGGATGGCGTCGTTTCGAGAGCTGGGCTCCGAAGCGAAGGGTGTTGAATGGAGGAAAACATATAGAACAACTTGGTTCCACACCGAACTAAGAGAAGGTGTGAAAGACGGCAACTTGCAGGCTGGTCAACAGTATGCATACTCTAAATATCACATGAAACAACGTTATAGTTTGACAGGCATGCGGCATAGGTCAGTTGATTTTTGCTCAGCTAAAAAAGAGTGCGAATAATACACTGTACATCAAATTGAATTGGTAAGCGATTGACACAAACAATGAATCTATATTCTAGCTCGGTGTTTTGTTGCGGCAGCCCCGTGTTGTGAGACACAATCTCCGGCAAGAGGTCGTGCGCCCAAGGGGTCTACCCATGGTGGTTGCATCTTTTGGCCTCCCAACGTGAAGAGAAAAGTTCTCATCCTTGAAGATCGACTCGGCCTCCTGCAAAGCTCAAAGTGTCACGGCTCAAAAATGAATGGCCAGTCCACAAAAGAGTCCAAACAACCAGTTGCAACAATTGCTTTCGGAGCCCTTGCTACAGTACAATGGAGATATCAGAATCAAGCCCTCCAAGCTTTGCGAGCTCTGCATGCTTGACCACCCATCGTTCATGTGTCTTGGCCAGTCAATGCTCAAGTCACACAACCAAAGGATCACAGTCTGGGATCCAACATGAACGTATGCCTGGAACCCATCTGTCCAATTAGACAATATTTTGGCAGGTTGGTACCACCCCAATGTTGGGTATCATGTTACCCATCTCCCTTCAACCCTGTGGCCTATGTTCTAAGAAACTCCGAGTGTTCGGGCCATTTGTTGCCTGATTGACTAAACCCCAAAACACCAGCAGCACAGGTGTGCGTTTCTTCCGCGTCGATACACTCAGCAATGGCGGCGAGGTCACTGAGGTCACTCAGATGCTAGGTGTTTATGTTTGTTTCCTGTTCTATAAATTGTTTTTGTTTCGGACCGTAGCCCTTCTGGAGAGGTTCCTTTGCAAAGTCTTGGCGTTCAACATGGGAGTCATGTGAGCATCTGAGAAAAAGACACACACAGCATTCTGAATACTTAACGCAAAGGACATACAGTAACTCAAATTGATTCAACCATGTTATCGCTCTTGAATACTTAACGCAAAGGACATAATTCAAATTGATTCAACCATGTTATCGCTCTTGAGGGGGCCAGTCGCTTTTGCAGGTTTTAGCCAAATTCCAGAAATTAAATCGAACACTCTTTACTCAATTGGTCATGGCAAATTTTGGCTGCGGCTCTGCCCAGCGGAACTGCCTTCTCCGCCATTCCCTTCTGCCCCAGATCTCCCTTCTGGACTCCCAGCAGGACCCATGAACATCCGTGAAATGTCATGAAGATCCACTAACTGACTCCCTCAGTTTACCTTGAAAAGCAAGGCCCTTAAGGTTAAGGCGGTTGAGGGTCATCCACTCATCCACTGTTTTTTTGTGGGTCCAATGTGCCGAGATCCGTCTCCGTCTCCAACCGTCTCCTCGTCATGGCAGGCTGCGAGGTCCTGGAGGAACTCCACGGTCTCCGCCGTGCCATAGCTGTTGCGGTGAGGACGGGCGGTGAGGCGGTGCCAGCGGTGGGGAGGTACATCGGTAGGTGGCGGGCTGGTGTGAGGGTCACAAACCTACGTACTCCCAGTGGCTTGGGTGGGAGTAAAGTGACAAGTGCGAGGAAAAAGGAAGGCTTTGATGGTGGGTCTTGGATTTGGCAAAGTCATGCTGGGGATTGGCGAAGTCTGAGATGTTGAAATTCGCTGAAGTTCGGTTGACAAGATACCGGTATACCATGGTATACCTACAGTATAGGTGACAGGGTGGACACGATCATGCGTTCCCTTCAAAGACTGAGACTCATGCGAAGTGACCAGGTCGGCTGCTTCTATCCTTTTCTCACTATCTCTCGGCATATGCACGGAATCTGCACCAAGTCTTCATTCTTCACACGCATCCCATAAACAAAAAACGAGACAAACATAGCCAGCTGGGGGCAAACCGGGCAAGCACGACCGGCCTCCTCCGCGGCGCGACCGCCATCGACTCGTTCCCGAAGGTCTTGGTGCGGAAGTGGCTCAACATCGATTCTCAACTCCCGATGAAGCCGAAGCGTTCGGCGAAGAGAAGAGGAGAGAGAGAGAGAGAGGGGAACAGAAAACAAGAAGAAAACAACATCATAATATGACACTGTAATCAAATACTTGCAGAAGTCAAGACGCATGACACCACCTATACCAGGACTATCCAACAGGAGCTAAGAGGCTGTGTATAGGCACCTCTTGGTGAACATGGCATGAGGATGATCATTATTCAACAAATGTGTGAAGCATCGCTAGCAAAAAACAAGATGGAGCCCACGAACCCGAATGCAAAAACGTTCGAAAAGCTACATATGTCCAAATGACACTCTTGTAGGACACTCCTGTAGGACACTCTTGTGGGACACTCCTGTGGGACACTCATTTGGGACACTCTTGCGGGACACTCCTGTGGGACACTCTTGTAGGGCACTCTTGTGGGACACTGTTGCGGGACACTCTTGTGGGACACTCTTAAGGGACACTCTTGTGGGGCACTCTTATAGGACACTCTTGTAGGAAACTCTTGTGGGATACTCTTGTACAAGGGACCCTCTTGTAGGACACTCTTGTGGGACACTCTTGTAGGGCACTCTTGTGGGACACTCTTGTGGGACACTCTGATAGGACCCTCTTGTGGGACACTCTTAACTCTTGTGAGACACTCTTGTGGGACACTCTTGTAGGACACTCTTGTGGGACACTCTTACGGGACACTCTTGTTGCACACTCTTGTAGGACACTCTTGTGGGTCACTCTTATGGGACACTCTTGTCGGACACTCTTGTGGGACACACTTGTGGGACACTCTTGTGGGACACTCATACGGGACACTCTTTGGGACACTCTTGTAGGACACTCTTGTGGGACACGCGGCACACTCTTGTGGGACACTCCTGTGGGGCACTCATACGGGACACTCTTGTGGGACACTCTAGTAGGTTGTGGGACACTCTTGTCGGACACTCTTGTGGGATACTCCTGTAGGACACTCTTGTGGGACACTCTTGTGGGGCACTCTTGTGGGACACTCTTGTAGGAAGCTCTTGTGGGACACTCTTGTAGGACACTCTTGTGGGACACTGTTGCGGGACACTCTTGTGGGACACTCTTAAGGGACACTCTTGTGAGACACTCTTGCGGGACACTGTTGCGGGACACTCTTGTGGGACACTCCTGTGGGACACTCATTTGGGACACTCTTGTGGGACACTCTTGTGGGACACTCTTGTGGGACACTCTTGTGGGACACTCTTGTAGGAAACTCTTGTGGGACACTCTTGTAGGACACTCTTGTGGGACACCATTGTAGGGCACTCTTGTGGGACACTCTTGTGGGACACTCTTGTAGGAAACTCTTGTGGGACACTCTTGTGGGACACTCCTGAAGGACACTCTTGTGGGATACTCTTGTGGGACACTCTTGTGGGACACTCTTGTAGGAAACTCTTGTGGGACACTCTTGTAGGACACTCTTGTGGGACACTGCTGCGGGACACTCTTGTGGGACACTCTTAAGGGACACTCTTGTGAGACACTCTTGCGGGACACTGTTGCGCGACACTCTTGTGGGACACTCCTGTGGGACACTCATTTGGGACACTCTTGCGGGACACTCTTGCGGGACACTCTTGTGGGACACTCTTGTGGGACACTCTTAAGGGGCACTCTTGTGAGACACTCTTGCGGGACACTGTTGCGGGACACTCTTGTGGGACACTCCTGTGGGACACTCATTTGGGACACTCTTGCGGGACACTCTTGTGGGACACTCTTGTAGGACACTCTTGTAGGACACTTTTGTGGGACACTCTTATAGGACACTCTTGTAGGAAACTCTTGTGGGATACTCTTGTAGGACACTCTTGTGGGACACTCTTGTAGGACACTCTTGTGGGAAACTCTTGTAGGGCACTCTTGTGGGACACTCTTGTGGGACACTCTTATAGGACACTCTTGTGGGACACTCTTGACTCTTGTGAGACACTCTTGTGGGACACGGTTGCGGGACACTCTTGTGGGACACTCTTGTGAGACACTCTTACGGAACACTCTTGTAGGACACTCTTGTGGGACACTCTTGTAGGACACTCTTGTGGGACACTCTTACGGGACACTCTTGTTGCACATTCTTGTAGGACACTCTTGTGGGTCACTCTTATGGGACACTCTTGTCGGACACTCTTGTGGGACACACTTGTGGGACACTCTTGTGGGACACTCATACGGGACACTCTTGTGGGACACTCTTAGGACACTCTTGTGGGACATGCGGGACACTCTTGTG